AATTCAAGTACTTCCTGCGGGTCATATGAGATTCCAAAATAAAATTTTTGTAACTTGTTACAAATTATAGCTTTGATTATGTGAATGCTACATAATATTATCAAATGTTTAGTCCTCTCGTAAATATGTCATTTTGAAATGCATCTTTAATGGTGTAGTTTTTCGTGCAATATTGTAAGCTTTAATGTATAAGGTACAGTTTAATAACTTTTATAAGAAAATACTCAAGGGTTATTTCATCTATTGTGATGCACTTAAGTCATAAAATATACCTGTGTATATAATGCAATAATATTATAATGAAAAAATAGTTTATATGATATATATAAGTTTATACGTAATATATATATTTTTATATAATAGTTTATATAAGATGTTTCCTATAACTTTATTAGCATCAACGTTTAAAAACGCATTATTTTATCAATTTTTATTAAATATTGATATAATAGGAATGGGATACATCCTGTATATAAGTTAAAGTTATTAAAACAGTACCTGATAAACAATTAATTTCACTTTATAAAGTATTTTCATGCATTGATATGCAAATACATCTAATACAAAGTGCCTTGATTTTTAGTGTATATTTTTTCATACCGCCACTTTTGGACCAATTTGACAGATGTTTGTTCTTACGAAAACTCAAAGCATGTGTATAATTGTTTTCCAATTATTTTGTAAGAACTTAAAAGATTTACGTTATGATACGAAGATATGCAGAATTCATGTTATAATAATCAACATATAAATATTGCAATTATAATCATCTTTGTATAGTCTGATACTATACTTGTATATAAAAAAATCTAAAACGTGCCGTATTATAAGCACACATTACACATTAAAATTATAAAACAAAATATGCAGAGTGAATCATAGATATGTACATTATATATGTGATGCGTGTATATGTGTATATATACATAGATTTATAAAGCAAGACTTAATTGTATATATTAGATCTTCAAATTTGTAAGAAATAATGTTTTTGCTAGACATTCGTGTTAGACAATTATATCTAAATTGTCTAGAAGAAAACTTCGAAATGTCATGCATAATTATTAATATAGAAGGAAAAATTCAAAAATAAGCTTAAATTAAATTTATACAAATTTATTAATTTATGTTTTATTTATATACTTGTATATATAAATAAAAATATTTATATATCTGTATAAATATAAATAAAAATATATATTACTTAATCAGTTCACTGGTAATGACGCATATATGCGCACCATGAATATTTCTTCCAATTTTTAACGGATTTGAATATAACTTGGTATACCCATGCTTTTTGGGTCGCTGATTACAAATCTGAAGAATTAGGTCTTACCAGTTTTGGCACAAAACGTTGATTTCGCGTTACCAATGAATCGGTTAAAGTATAAATTTTTATTTCTTATTTTTGAAAAATTTCCTTCGTAGTTTGTAGAAAAATATTCAATCAAATTTTATATATTTTTGACTTACCAATAATAGTTTCGGTGCACCGATGCCCATGGATTCGTTACATATAAATCTTACTTCGGACGTGTAAGAATCTGTGACAAGAAAAATGTAATTTTAAGACACAATGGATAATTAATCACGAATACATTAATAAAACAGAAATGTTTAACTTACTGTTGTTACATTTACTGCCATTTGAATATTTAAGTTTTACGTCGTCACGGCTGTAATCAAAAATCACACTTCCCCGCGATCCATAACCGTTGCCTTCGCGACATACAGCAGAACCGTTGCAATATTTCTCTCCACCGCAAATATTTAAAGCATACTCCTTGCCTTGTCTGCTTTTCACCTAGTTTTAGTTTTACTTCTGATTAGCTTTTTCAAAATGTTTATATTGTCAGCAGACATTATATATGTGCATCATGTATTGTATGCAAAAAAATACTGTTAACGATAGCTACAAAGCTGTCATCCACATTTTAAACTCACATAATGTATCTGTTGCTTCTTGTATAATAAAGAAAGATCATATTCATATGAAAGGAAACTATCCTTTATAGTACATGGCGCTGTCCAACCTCCCATCACTGCTCCACATGCTATACTCGTATTCCACTCAAATACATAAGTACAATTAGCATAATGTTTATATACTGGAAGTCCCTGAAATATGAAAAACATGAAAATGTATTAAACTTTATAAAATAAACTAGACAGTACATACATTTAAGTAGAATTTTAAGTTTATTATACTGAAGACGTTAATTCTTTAATGATAAATGAAGCTACAACAAAAAAATTGACTTTCTTACAAATTCTTTCAACTGTAAAGTTCGATCTCGAGTTAAAGGATAAATTTATCATTAAAATTCAGATTAAAACACTTAGAAAGTTTCTGTTACCTGATTATTATTATCGCAAATAAATGTAAAATTTGAAGATATCGTTTTAGCTGGATTCTCGGGACATTGTGATCCATTGATATAACGTAACACTGTTCGTAGATCTTTATTTAATGTTGGATTGTCCTCAGGAAATCCTAAACTCTGTTAAATTATTTTAATAAAAATATGCACATATTGAAAGTTACTATACACTTCCAATTATTATGTCGGTGACTATTTAAATAACTCTGTACTTACGATTTCATTGGTATATTCATTCTTCGAATTTACCGAAACTTTACAAGCAGCACTACCATGTGCACATGTAACACCTTGAGTTGGAACCAACGGTCGGCATATATTTATGTGAAATTCTGTGCCGTTGGCTTTTATAATGTAATTATTTGTAGATTGTATAAGCGGAGTTAAGTTGATTTCATCGTCATTGTCGGTAGCACATTTAATCTAGACAAAAGAATAATCTTTTATGTATTCTGTCAAGAAGAGAAAAATCAGTAGCATGCACATAATCGTGCCTACTTTTTTCTCACAAACTAAATCTGTATTCCAGTGTATGATAGTCTGACAAGGATATTCTTTCACGAGCAATGGCTGGTTAGGCGACCCTTGTGGCTCACACAAAAATCCGATAACTGTATAGTGACGCATTCCATTTTCGCATGAATCTCCATCGGTATAATTCAAGTAAGGGCCACCTTGCTGCCATATCAGATTTGTGTTAGCTTTTCCTAACGATGTACGTTTTGAATTACATACTCCTGTATGAAGAAATGATAATTGATAGGTAAGATTTAGATCCGTCACATAATCATAATATACAACAGTTTCATGATAAAGTATAGCACCTGTATTGGTTCCACATGTATTATCTGTGAGCGCACCGCAAACTCTGAATTTTACACCGCTTGAATTTGTGACAGTAAAGTCTTTGTTCATTAGTGTTTGCAAGTTATATCTGCGTATTACAAAATGTATCAGTCAAATTATAAAATATATTCATTTATTGATCAGTATTGATCATGTAACATCAAGGAATTATTCTTACGTGAAATTTGTAACTGGATTCGTAACGATACATTTGCCTGCTGTTTTAGCACTATGATTACGCAGGGTCTCAACATCGCACGCTGCAGCAGTATACCATATCAATTGATAATGACACACTTCTCTTCCTCCAATGTACTCTGGGGGTCTCTGGTAACAACATTATGATATTCATGTAACATATTTCTTTCATATATACATGCATAATATATTTTGTTATTATCTGATGCTATACCGTAGCTTCCAAATTACATATAAATGTAATAGTCGTTTTAACGTGTGGAGTTGAAATATTTTGCACGCATAACGCACCATCCTGGTATTCTATTTGTAAACTTCCGTTCCTAAAGAAAGGAGGTTTTTGTACCTCTCCTAAACTCGAATCTCTACAACAAGGTAAAACAAAAAAAAATTTATCTTAAATAAAAGAAGTTTACTGTTATAGAAAAATTATACATTTGTATATAGGTATATAGGTATAACAAAACTAAATTATATATTTGTATTGCATTCAATTTTAATAAAAGATTTATTCTCGCCGATCTATTACACTTACTTATCAGGATTCTCAGGATCGTCCAAACAAACTCCAGATTTAACTGGACACGTAGTACCGTGATGTATTACATTTTGGCAGACATTTAAGATTATCTTGGGTGACTTTGTTTCATTTCTCATACGAATCACATAGTTTTCTGAAGCTCTTGTTAAAAGACTTAGATCGTAATGACGTCCGGCGTTGGCAACTGTACAATTTGTTTGGGTTCTGGGTACACAAGCTAATGCTGTCTTCCATACTATGTGTAAGTTGCACTCTTGGTCACCCTATAATATTTTCAAAATATTCCTATTATATACATCATCCAATCTAAACGTATCCAAGAGAAACTACTTACATGCGAAAATAATTCAGGATACGAATTACTCTCCACGTCATAATCACAATACATAATAATCTTCATCGTATAATTGGTTCCATGTAGACAACTGTCACCAGTAAAATTAAATAAAATTCTTCCATTTTTGTTATCTACACCCGGAGGAAACCTTCCTGTATGCACCAACAAAAATTAATCGTAAAATAATGTCAAACTCACAGTACCTTGATAGATAAAATGTCACATGAACCATAGAGCATTACCTATTCCTTTCTCTGTGTTGTTTTTTATCAGACATATGGCATAACCATCCTGGTTATTGCATTTTTTAATTAATGGGGAACACAGTTGCATACGTATCATTTCATTGTCGTGCTCGATGATAACGTCTTCTTTATCAGATGACAACTTTGTTAAATTATATATAAGGTTTAACCTATGGTCAGGTACTTCGCAATAAGTTGAAGGAGTGACAGTTAAAACCTGCAATAAGAACAAAATATATAAATCTTCAGATTAACAAAAATTAATAACTTTGCGGATCAACAACCTAAAGTTAAACTATATTTCATCAAGAAAAATAAGGTGGCTAGTTGAGCAAATGTAAATAACAAAGCTTGGGGATCATTATTTCCGGACAAATTGCCTACTTGCGTCAAAATACATGATAAATATGCAACGATGACGCGAGGCTAATATATACTTAAAAAGGTAAACACAATTAACTATGCACTACGTACAGCCGAAGTGATAATAGCCGATAAAGAGCAAAGAAAGAGTAATCCTTTCAATTTTGACATCGTTCTAGAATCAGGTCTTGCCCATTACATTATTTATCGGAATGATTCGCGATGCGGAACATCAGGTGCAGAACGAAGATGAAAATCATCGATAAGTTCCGCTGACAATTTCGAATCAGATGATTCAGGGATGCGATATGACTCAGCTGACAGCAGCAGCGCACTTGGGAGGGGAGGGGACATCGTCACGATCCTTTTTTCTTCTCTAAACTGCGCGCCTGCGCGGTGCAGTACGCCGCCGCATCGAGCCGCCGCGCCGGCGGCGAGAGCGGCCGAACGTGATTGGCCGGACTCGGGGGCTCGACTCGCGAGCCAATCACGTTCGACGTCTCGCCCGACGCCCGACTGTGCGGTGGCAACGGCGCGCGCAAGCGGCGCGAGCATGATGTGAGACGTCGTCGGTCGTGTAATATTTATCGATGATACATGTAAGATATAAATATTCTCGACTGTTGAGGATCAGTTTAATATTTATTTCTTACGTGTATCGATAAATATGAACTTATTTTATATATTTATGGCTGCGGTCCACTTGACGCTATATACAAATGCTTTGAAGCATTTTTCTTCTCCTTCTTTCTTCATTGAAAGAAAAGAGAAGAGGAATGCTTCGAAGCATTTGTAGCGTCAAGTGG